CTGTTGTCTGTGTTGAGGTTCTGTTGTCTGTGTTGAGGTTATGTTGTGTGTGTTGAGGTTATGTTGTGTGTGTTGAGGTTATGTAGTGTGTGTTGAGGTTATGTTGTCTGTGTTGAGGTTCTGTTGTGTGTGTTGAGGTTCTGTTGTGTTTATTGAGGTTCTGTTGTCTGTGTTGAGGTTATGTTGTGTGTGTTGAGGTTATGTTGTGTGTGTTGAGGTTATGTTGTGTGTGTTGAGGTTCTGTTGTGTGTGTTGAGGTTATGTAGTGTGTTGAGGTTATGTAGTGTGTTGAGGTTATGTTGTGTGTGTTGAGGTTATGTTGTGTGTGTTGAGGTTATGTTGTGTGTGTTGAGGTTATGTTGTGTGTGTTGAGGTTCTGTTGTGTGTGTTGAGGTTCTGTTGTGTTTATTGAGGTTCTGTTGTCTGTGTTGAGGTTATGTTGTGTGTGTTGAGGTTATGTTGTGTGTGTTGAGGTTATGTTGTGTGTGTTGAGGTTATGTTGTCTGTGTTGAGGTTATGTTGTGTGTTGAGGTTATGTTGTGTGTGTTGAGGTTATGTTGTGTGTGTTGAGGTTATGTTGTGTGTGTTGAGGTTATGTTGTGTGTGTTGAGGTTATGTAGTGTGTGTTGAGGTTATGTTGTCTGTGTTGAGGTTATGTTGTGTGTGTTGAGGTTATGTTGTGTGTGTTGAGGTTATGTTGTGTGTGTTGAGGTTATGTAGTGTGTGTTGAGGTTATGTTGTCTGTGTTGAGGTTCTGTTGTGTGTGTTGAGGTTCTGTTGTGTTTATTGAGGTTCTGTTGTCTGTGTTGAGGTTATGTTGTGTGTGTTGAGGTTATGTTGTGTGTGTTGAGGTTATGTTGTGTGTGTTGAGGTTATGTTGTGTGTGTTGAGGTTATGTAGTGTGTGTTGAGGTTATGTTGTGTGTGTTGAGGTTATGTAGTGTGTGTTGAGGTTCTGTTGTGTTTATTGAGGTTCTGTTGTCTGTGTTGAGGTTATGTTCTGTGTTGAGGTTATGTTGTGTGTGTTGAGGTTCTGTTGTGTGTGTTGAGGTTCTGTTGTGTTTATTGAGGTTCTGTTGTGTGTGTTGAGGTTATGTTGTGTGTGTTGAGGTTATGTTGTGTGTGTTGAGGTTATGTTGTGTGTGTTGAGGTTATGTTGTGTGTGTTGAGGTTATGTAGTGTGTGTTGAGGTTATGTTGTCTGTGTTGAGGTTCTGTTGTGTGTGTTGAGGTTCTGTTGTGTGTGTTGAGGTTATGTTGTGTGTTGAGGTTATGTTGTGTGTGTTGAGGTTATGTTGTGTGTGTTGAGGTTATGTTGTCTGTGTTGAGGTTATGTTGTGTGTGTTGAGGTTATGTTGTGTGTGTTGAGGTTCTGTTGTGTGTGTTGAGGTTCTGTTGTGTGTGTTGAGGTTATGTTGTGTGTGTTGAGGTTCTGTTGTCTGTGTTGAGGTTCTGTTGTCTGTGTTGAGGTTATGTTGTGTGTGTTGAGGTTATGTTGTGTGTGTTGAGGTTATGTAGTGTGTGTTGAGGTTATGTTGTCTGTGTTGAGGTTCTGTTGTGTGTGTTGAGGTTCTGTTGTGTTTATTGAGGTTCTGTTGTCTGTGTTGAGGTTATGTTGTGTGTGTTGAGGTTATGTTGTGTGTGTTGAGGTTATGTTGTGTGTTGAGGTTATGTTGTCTGTGTTGAGGTTATGTTGTGTGTTGAGGTTATGTTGTGTGTGTTGAGGTTATGTTGTGTGTGTTGAGGTTATGTTGTGTGTGTTGAGGTTATGTTGTGTGTGTTGAGGTTATGTAGTGTGTGTTGAGGTTATGTTGTCTGTGTTGAGGTTCTGTTGTCTGTGTTGAGGTTATGTTGTGTGTGTTGAGGTTATGTTGTGTGTGTTGAGGTTATGTTGTGTGTGTTGAGGTTATGTAGTGTGTGTTGAGGTTATGTTGTCTGTGTTGAGGTTCTGTTGTGTGTGTTGAGGTTCTGTTGTGTTTATTGAAGTTCTGTTGTCTGTGTTGAGGTTATGTTGTGTGTGTTGAGGTTATGTTGTGTGTGTTGAGGTTATGTTGTGTGTGTTGAGGTTATGTTGTGTGTGTTGAGGTTATGTTGTGTGTTGAGGTTATGTTGTGTGTTGAGGTTATGTTGTGTGTGTTGAGGTTATGTTGTGTGTGTTGAGGTTATGTTGTGTGTGTTGAGGTTATGTTGTGTGCGTTGAGGTTCTGTTGTCTGTGTTGAGGTTATGTTGTGTGTGTTGAGGTTATGTTGTGTGTGTTGAGGTTATGTTGTGTGTGTTGAGGTTATGTTGTGTGTGTTGAGGTTATGTTGTGTGTTGAGGTTATGTTGTGTGTGTTGAGGTTATGTTGTTGTGTGTTGAGGTTATGTTGTGTGTGTTGAGGTTATGTTGTGTGTGTTGAGGTTATGTTGTGTGTGTTGAGGTTATGTTGTGTGTTGAGGTTATGTTGTGTGTGTTGAGGTTATGTTGTGTGTGTTATGTTGTGTGTGTTGAGGTTATGTTGTGTGTGTTGAGGTTATGTTGTGTGTGTTGAGGTTATGTTGTGTGTTGAGGTTATGTTGTGTGTGTTGAGGTTATGTTGTGTGTGTTGAGGTTATGTTGTGTGTTGAGGTTATGTTGTGTGTGTTGAGGTTATGTTGTGTGTGTTGAGGTTTTGTTGTGTGTTGAGGTTATGTTCTGTGTTGAGGTTATGTTGTGTGTGTTGAGGTTATGTTGTTGTGTGTTGAGGTTATGTTGTGTGTGTTGAGGTTATGTTGTGTGTTGAGGTTATGTTGTGTGTTGAGGTTATGTTGTGTGTGTTGAGGTTATGTTGTGTGTGTTGAGGTTATGTTGTGTTTGTTGAGGTTCTGTTGTGTGTGTTGAGGTTCTGTTGTGTGTGTTGAGGTTATGTTGTGTTTATTGAGGTTCTGTTGTGTGTGTTGAGGTTCTGTTGTGTTTGTTGAGGTTATGTTGTGTGTGTTGAGGTTATGTTGTGTTTGTTGAGGTTCTGTTTTGTGTGTTGAGGTTCTGTTGTGTGTTGAGGTTCTGTTGTGTGTTGAGGTTCTGTTGTGTGTGTTGAGGTTCTGTTGTGTGTGTTGAGGTTCTGTTGTGTGTGTTGAGGTTCTGTGGTGTGTGTTGAGGTTCTGCTGTGTGTGTTGAGGTTCAGTTGTGTTTGTTGAAGTTCTGTTGTGTGTGTTGAGGTTCTGTTGTGTGTGTTGAGGTTCTGTTGTGTTTGCTGTTTCAGGAGTTTGTGTGTGTTGAGCTCAGTTGTGTTTGTTGAGGTTCTGTTGTGTGTTGAGGTTCTGTTGTGTGTGTTGAGGTTCTGTTGTGTGTCTGTGTGTGTGTGTGTTGAGGTTCTGTTGTGTGTGTGTGTGTGTGTGTGTGTGTGTGTGTTGAGGTTCTTTTGTGTTTATTGAGGTTCTGATGTGTTTGCTGTTTCAGGAGGTTGTGTGTGTGTTGAGGTTATGTTGTGTGTGTTGAGGTTCTGTTGTGTGTGTTGAGGTTCTGTTGTGTGTGTTGAGGTTCTGTTGTGTGTGTTGAGGTTCTGTTGTGTGTATTGAGGTTCAGTTGTGTTTGTTGAGGTTCAGTTGTGTTTGTTGAAGTTCTGTTGTGTGTGTGTTGAGGTTCTGTTGTGTGTGTTGAGGTTCTGTTGTGTTTGCTGTTTCAGGAGGTTGTGTGTGTGTTGAGGTTATGTTGTGTGTGTTGAGGTTCTGTTGTGTGTGTTGAGGTTCTGTTGTGTTTGCTGTTTCAGGAGGTTCTGATGTGTGTGTGTTGAGGTTCTGTTGTGTGTTTTGATGTTCTGTTGTGTGTTTTGATGTTCTGTTGTGTGTGTGTGTGTGTGTGTGTGTGTGTGTATGTTGATATTCTGGTGTGTGTGTTTTGAGGTTGTGTGTGTGTTTCAGGAGCTTCTGTTGTGTGTGTGTGTGTTGAGGTTCTGTTGTGTGTGTGTTTCATTAGGTTCTGTTGTGTGTGTGTGTGTGTGTGTTTCAGTAGGTTGTGTGTGTTGAGGTTGTGTGTGTGTGTGTTGATGTTCTGTTGTGTGTGTGTGTTGAGGTTCTTTTGTGTGTGTGTGTGTGTGTGTGTGTGTGTGGTGTTTCAGGATGTTCTGTTGTTTGTTGAGAGGTTCTGCTGTGTGTGTTGAGGTTCAGTTGTGTTTTTTGAGGTTCTGTTTGTTTGTGTTGTTGGAGGAGGTTTCTGTTGATGTTCTGTTGTGTTTTCTCTTTCAGGAGGTTGTGTGTGTGTGTGTGTGTGTTGCAGGAGGTTCTGTTGTGTGTGTTGAGGTTCTGGTGTGTGTGTGTGTGTGTGTGTTGATGTTCTGTTGTGTGTGTTGCAGGAGGTTCTGTTGTGTGTGTGTGTGTGTGTGTGTGTTGATGTTCTGTTGTGTGTGTGTGTGTGTGTGTTGATGTTCTGTTGTGTGTGTGTGTGTGTTGATGTTCTGTTGTGTGTGTGTGTGTGTGTGTTGATGTTCTGTTGTGTGTGTGTGTTGATGTTCTGTTGTGTGTGTGTGTTGATGTTCTGTTGTGTGTGTGTGTTGATGTTCTGTTGTGTGTGTGTGTGTGTGTGTGTGGTGATGTTCTGTTGTGTGTGTGTGTGTGTGTTGATGTTCTGTTGTGTGTGTTGATGTTCTGTTGTGTGTGTTGATGTTCTGTTGTGTGTGTGTGTGTGTGTGTGTGTGTGTTGATGTTCTGTTGTGTGTGTGTGTGTGTTGATGTTCTGTTGTGTGTGTGTGTGTGTGTGTTGATGTTCTGTTGTGTGTGTGTTGCAGGAGGTTCTGTTGTGTGTGTGTGTGTGTGTTGAGGTTCTGTTGTGTGTGTGTTGCAGGAGGTTCTGTTGTGTGTGTGTGTGTGTGTGTGTGTTGATGTTCTGTTGTGTGTGTTGCAGGAGGTTCTGTTGTGTGTGTGTGTGTTGAGGTTCTGTTGTGTGTGTGTTGCAGGAGGTTCTGTTGTGTGTGTGTGTGTGTGTGTGTGTTGATGTTCTGTTGTGTGTGTGTGTGTGTGTGTTGATGTTCTGTTGTGTGTGTTGCAGGAGGTTCTGACCCTGCAGAGATGCGCTCCTCATGTGATTGTGCGCGGTCTGGTGCGGATCCGCTGTGTGCAGGAACTGGAGCGAGTTCTGGACTTCATGACCCGGAAGGGCCTGATCAACACGGGAGTTCTGCAGGTCAAGCGGCCCCTCCTGCCCGAGTCCCAGCACAACGTGAGCCACTGACACACACACACACACACACACACACACACACACACACACACACACACACACACACACACACTCACACACACACACACACACACACTCGCTCTGTTTGTCCCAGCACAACGTGAGCCGCTGACACACACACACACACACACACACACACTCGCTCTGTTTGTCTGTTTGTTTCACAGGAATGAGTGAGAATCTGGAGAATCATCGTTGAGAAGAACCAGAGTCACAAAGCTAATATCTGACAGTCATGAGAATTTACGGGAAAAATGTTTTTGATATTCATGAAAATAGTAAGAAGAAATCTTAGTTCTCACAGAACTCCTAAACCGCGAGGCAGTGCAGCATGTGTAGTGCATGAAACGTACTCGGTTACTAACGTAACCTCGGTTCTCTCTAGAGAGGGAACGAGTACTGCGTAATAGCTTTACGCTAGGGGAAAAACTCTTTTCCGCGAGATATTGAAGCCAAAAATTATCCTTAATTTTTTATTAATGTAAAACGCTTTGCAGCAGCAAGCAGACATAGGCGAAACAGCTCGCGCGCCTATTGGTTGCTCTTGCGGCAAATGCAGCAGCCTATCGAGAGAGACTCAGCGTGACGTAATGACCAATGGGGGCAATTCGCGCCCCATATCGTCACGTCCCGCCAGAAAAGGCGTGGTCTCACCCTATAAATATGCTCGTTAGGCTGATACAAGCTGGTTTTTATCACTGAAGCGAACCAGAGCGTATACCAAGCACGGCAAGATACGCAGTACTCGTTCCCTCTCTAGAGAGAACCGAGGTTACGTTAGTAACCGAGTACGTTCTCTTACGAGAGTATCTCTCGTACTGCGTAATAGCTTACGCTAGGGGAACACAATGCAACACGCCGTGCGTACAGGGATCCAACACCAAAGTCCCGGGGGCCGAAGCCCAGGGCTCATGTAGTGCATAATCACCATAAACTCACATAGAGTGGAGGAAGAGAGGCTGGAAGCGTCATTCCCTATAAAAAAGCACCCAGCGGGGCTATCATATGACAATAAAACGCGCAGCCAGGGTGAAAGCTTTCAGCCTGATCTGGGTGGCCATACGTGTGTCAACACTCATGGGGCTGCAGTAAACTCAGCATCTGGGCCGCACAGCGGGGCAGATAGCACTGAATTTTAGACCGCCAAAAGCTTAGCTTGTAAGGCGGGTACCTCCAGGTTATAGTATTTTATAAATGTAGACGGCGAGGCCCAGCCCGCGGCCGTACAGATATCTTGCAGGGAAACCCCGCTCGACCAAGTCCACGAAGAGGCCACGCCTCTCGTGGAGTGCGCCCTGACACCCAAGGGGCACTGTAGGCCCTTCGCAGAGTAAGCGAGCGCAATGGCATCCACTATCCATCTGGATAGGCTCTGTTTTGAGGCGGCGAGTCCCTTGGAACGCCCGCCAAACAAAACAAAAAGCTGCTCCGTCTGTCTGAAACCAGACGAGCGTGACACATAAGCTCTCAATGCCCTGACGGGGCAAAGGAGACTCGCGTCCTCCTCCTCACTGAGAACCGGAAGGGCGGACAGGGAAATTACCTGGGCCCTAAACGGTGTATTGAGGGATTTCGGGACATACCCGTGCTTGGGTTTGAGAATGACCTTCGAGTCATTAGGCCCAAACTCCATACACGACGCGCTTACTGAAAGCGCCTGTAAGTCCCCTATGCGCTTCACTGAAGCGAGAGCCATAAGAAACACTGTTTTGAACGACAGGTGTTTCATGTCCACCAGCTGGATTGGCTCGAACGGGGCGCCTTTCATGGCCTCCAGGACCGTGGAAAGGTCCCACGTCGGGACTGAAGGGGGCCTGGGAGGGTTCAGCCTCCGAGCTCCCCTAAGGAAACGCACGACTAAGTCGTTTTTCCCCAGCGACTGGCCAGACACCGGTTTTGCAAACGTTGCTATGGCCGCCACATATACTTTGAGCGTGGATGGGGTCCTGCCCTTATCCAGTAGCTCTTGAAGGAAGGAAAGCACTTCCGAAACCCCGCATTCCACAGGTGAAAAGCTCTGGGCTTGACACCATGCAGAGAAAACAGACCATTTCGAGGAGTAGAGCCGCCTGGTAGACGGAGCTCTAGCCTGCGCGATCGTGTTTAACACTCCTTCTGGGAGGCTAGCGGGTACCCGTTGATGGGCCATGCGTGCAGGGACCACAACCCCGGGCGAGGGTGCCAAATCGAGCCCTCTGCCTGAGAGAGGAGGTCTCTCCTCAATGGTACAGGCCATGGGGCAGTGCTGGTCAGCTGCATCAGGGCAGGGAACCACGTCTGGTTTGTCCAGAGCGGAGCTACGAGCAGCACTGGGCATCCGTTCTCCCTGATTCGTTCCAACACCTGAGGCAGGAGCGAGACAGGAGGAAAAGCATATAGGGGGCAGCGGGGCCAAACATGAGCCAGCGCGTCCTTGCTTTTCGAGAAAAACTCCGGGCAATGAGCGTTTTCGTGGGACGCGAATAGGTCCACCTGTGCTCTGCCGAACGTTTTCCACAGCAGCTGGACCGTCTGCGGGTGCAGCGACCATTCCCCTGCTGGAACCTTGTTCCTGGACAGTCTGTCTGGTCCCACATTCAGGTGACCAGGCACGTGCGCTGCTCTCAGTGAGAGCAGGTTGTGCTGAGCCCAGACCAGGAGGCGTTCCGTCAGCCTGTGAAGGTTTCGTGACCTGACGCCGCCCTGGCGATTTATGTATGCCACCACTGACATGTTGTCCGACCGGACCAAGACGTGGTGGCCTGTTACCTGGGGACAAAAACGCCGTAGCGCTTTGTCGACTGCTATCATCTCCAAGCAGTTTATGTGAAGGAGCTTTTCCCGTTCTGACCACAGGCCAGCTAGCGGTCTGCCCTCGAGCAGCGCTCCCCACCCCGAGGTGGAGACGTCCGTAGACACCACCTTCACACTCGAAGCGGTCCCCAGACTCACACCTGACTGATACCAGTCGGTTATTTTCCAAGGTTCCAGAGCTGAAACACACTGAAGGTCGACCCTGAGGCGAAACAGACCCGCTGTCCATGCCCTGGGTGGAACCCGCGCTTTCAGCCACATCTGCAGTGGGCGCATGCGGAGCAAGCCCAACTGGAGTACAGAGGCTGCTGAGGCCATCAGCCCCAGCATTTTCTGAAACCTTTTGAGCGGAACTATCGCGCCGTGGCGGAAGGATTTCACGCCGCGCTGAATATTTAGCACGCGCTCTGGTGACAGGCGTGCTGTCATGGACAGCGAGTCCAACACGGTTCCCAGAAAGGAAATTTTCTGACTGGGAGACAGTGAGCTCTTCGCCCAATTGACTGTGAGGCCCAGCTCCTCGAGGTGCTCGAGTAATGCGGCCCTGTGTTCTATGAGCTCCGATCGTGATCGAGCTAGAATCAGCCAATCGTCCAAGTAGTTCAGGACTCGCATGCCCTGAAGTCTCAGGGGTGCGAGCGCCGCGTCCATGCACTTCGTAAATGTACGAGGTGCTAGGGACAGGCCGAACGGCAGGACTGTGTATTGATATGCCTGGCCCTCGAAGGCGAATCTCAAGAATCGCCTGTGATGGGACGCTATTTGTATTTGGAAATAGGCGTCTTTCAGATCTATCGACATAAACCAGTCCCCGTGGCGCACTTGCGCGAGGATTTTCCTGGTCGTAAGCATTCTGAACTGGCGTTTGACAAGCACTCTGTTCAGCTGTCGTAGATCTAAAATGGGTCTGAGACCCCCATCCTTTTTCGGCACCAGAAAATATCTGCTGTGTAGGCCCCCTTCGCTCTGAGCCTGAGATAAAGGTTCTATAGCGCCTTTGCTCAGTAGTTTCGCTATCTCGGCTCGAAGTAGATGAGACACTTCGTTTTTCACCGTAGTTTCGACACGCGCCGTATAACGGCGCGGGCGTCGAGCGAATTGTAGCGAATAGCCTCTCTTTATAGTGTTCAGCACCCATTCTGATACCCCGGGAAGCTTTGACCACGCATCTGCGTGAATAGCTAGGGGCAGAATGAAATCCGGGCTCTGGTCGCGGCAAAACGGCAGCTCGAGAGCCCGGGCATACTGGGAACACAACACCGTGTTTACAGCGTTCGAGGCGGGGGGCGCGCTGATCACAGCGGGCGGCCTGACCGCGCTCAGCTTTTTTATGGCAGATTGTGCAGAAAAAGCGAGCGGGGGAGATCCCGTAGGAATCGGCGTGTCTGTGAGAAAATGTGGGCGCGGGGCTGCGGGCACATTTATTACACTGAAAACACTGTCGTTCATGGCCGACTGGATGTGTGTTGGTTTCGTTTTTACAGAAACCAAGGGACACGCAGCATGTAGTGTGAGCGGGCATGGTGACATGGGCGCGTTTACTACATTGTTTGCACAATCGACCGGAGTCGATTTTATTTGTGCTAGCCCTGCACCGTGGCGGGCTGTGTCTGTGTGTGTGAATGGGCACTGGGTGGGCATTCTTACAACACTTATAACACCATCGGCCGTGGCCGGAACACCAGAAAATGCACTCTTTATTGGATTTATCTGGGTAGCCGTAAAAACGGCTTTTGTGCGCAGGCAAAATACACTGGGACAGTCGCAATGTTTGGAACTGACCGAGCGAGAAGTTTTGGTGGAAATCCGGCCACAGCGGGATCTGAACACCGTCGCTTTCCTAGAATGGCTAGGAAGATTTTGAGGCCTCGGGCTTGATCTCAATCCTCGGCCGGGGCCCGCGCTGAGGGGGGCGGCGTCCAGCAGAGCGAGAGCGCGGTCTTTGGTCTCGGGCGTGGCGGCGCTGTGAAGCGGCGGCGGCAGGCGGTGCAGGCTGCGGCTGAGAACTGCGAGCAGACGGCTGTTTTGAGCGGCCTGCAGCGGAGCTCGAGCGCTTCGGAAGGAAGTGCTTCATGGCCTGCGAAGTCTTTTGCACCTCCATGAATCTGTCCGCGAAATCTTTGACGGCAGATCCGAAAAGGCCCGCTTGTGAAATGGGCGCGTCGAGGAACACAGAGCGCTCGGCTTCCGTCATCTCGGACAGCGTCAGCCATAAGTGTCTTTCAGCCACGGTGAGAGAGGTCATGTTTCGTCCTATGGCTTGTGCAGCGGCTTTAGTAGCGCGAAGAGCGAGGTCTGTAGCGCTTCTCAGGTCCGCCACGCAGATCGCTCCGGGTCCTTCTTCGTCCAATTTAAGGAGAAGGTCGGCTTGGTAGATCTGCAGGATAGCCATAGTGTGCAGCGCTGAAACTGCTTGCCCGGCGGCGGTGTAAGCGCGACCGTGCATGGTTGACATCACTCGGCAGGCTTTAGAAGGTAGCGTCGTGTGAGCGCGCCGTCCAGCGGAGGGCGGGCAGAGATGAGACGCTACAGCTGGTTCCACAGGAGGAACAGAAAGGTATCCTCTGTCCTTCGCGACATCCACCGAGGAGAAAGCAGCAGAGGCAGAGGTACGCAGCCTGGCGGAGAAGGGGGCGTTCCACGATTTAGTCACTTCCTCGTGAAGTTCGGGAGGAAGGGCGCGGGCCGCGATTTCGTCGGAGCCTCGTCATTTCCGAGAAAGCGTCCGTCCATTCTGTTGCGCGGCGGCTGCGCGGGCGCCTCCCAATCGAGGCCGATGCTTTCCACGGCCTGAGAGAGCAGACGCATCAGCTCAGTCTCAATGCCGGCTCTCTTACCAGTGGTCTGGCGGGAAACGCTAGCGGAGGGGAGGTCCACGGAGCTCGCCCAATCCTCACTATCGGATGCCAGAAGAGAACACGCCTCGGTGGGTTCGTCAAACTCGTGGATGGACGCGGCGGCAGGCGGCGGCCGTTGTCCGTCAGTGAGCGACTCGAGCGAAGCCGGCGGGCGAACCGGCGAGCTTTGGCGGGCTGGAGAAAGCTCGGGAGCGCGCTGGTCGCGGCGCTTCTTGCGGCGCGGCACCACGGCGGGCTGCGGTGAAGGCTCGGAGAATGATGCCAGGCGAGTCCTCAGAGTCACCATGGGCAAAAGCTCGCAATGAGGGCATCCGCCGTCATCGAGCGCGAGAGCCGCGTGATCCTCACCCAGGCAGGAAACACAGATGACGTGCCGGTCTCCGTCGCTGAGCGGGGCGCGGCACGAGCCACAGGAAGGCATCTTTAAAAAGACGCAGCTCTTTTTGTGAGAGAAGTGTGAGTCGCGTCAAGTAAGCGAGCAAACACTCTCAACAGAGTAAATACACACAGAGTATGAAAGGATATAGAACGCCGGAAAGCGCAGCAGGTACGGCAGTTGAAGGCGGCGAGGCCAGCGACTCCAGAGCTCGTCCCGCTGAAAGGCTTGCTTCGACGGCGCGGCTTCTCACTCCGGATCCAGCGATGCGTGTGCGTCGCTGAAGAGATAAAAACCAGCTTGTATCAGCCTAACGAGCATATTTATAGGGTGAGACCACGCTCCTTCTGGCGGGACGTGACGATATGGGCGCGAATTGCCCCCATTGGTCATTACGTCACGCAGAGTCTCTCTCGATAGGCTGCTGCATTTGCTGCAGAGCAACCAATAGGCGCGCGAGCTGTTTCGCCTATGTCTGCTTGCTGCTGCAAAGCGTTTTACATTAATAAAAAGTTAAGGATAATTTTTGGCTTCAATATCTCGCGGAAAAGAGTTTTTCCCCTAGCGTAAAGCTATTACGCAGTACGAGAGATACTCTCGTAAGAGAACCAATGTTGTGAAGTGTCTGGGTCACACGTTTACACAGAAAAACATGGAGAAGCAGTGCAGTGAAAAACCCTTCTGAGTGAACAGCCTGTTAAACGTCTTCCGTGAGATTCACATTAAGTGTGTGTGTGTGTGTGTGTGTGTGTGTGTGTGTGTGTGTGTGTGTGTGTGTGTGTGAGCAGAAGGTCCTGGTCATCGGCGCCGGTGCTGCGGGTCTCGCTGCTGCTCGCCAGCTCCAGAACTTCGGCATGCAGGTATGACACACACACACACACTCTCACACTCTTCTAACCCTAATCAATGGAGTGTGCAGCTTTTTATTTCTTAAACAGCCATGTAGGAAGTGACACATCATGGCCATATTCCCGGATGATGTGAAGATTCCTCAGGCTCAGACTGTGAGAGGATGGTTGGGAGGTGTGTGTGTGTTCACACCTGTGTGTGTGTGTGTCTTGACTGTGAGAGGATGGTTGGGAGGTGTGTGTGTATTCACACCTGTGTGTGTGTGTGTGTCTTGACTGTGAGAGGATGGTTGGGAGGTGTGTGTGTGTTCACACCTGTGTGTGTGTGTGTCTTGACTGTGAGAGGATGGTTGGGAGGTGTGTGTGTGTTCACACCTGTGTGTGTGTGTGTCTTGACTGTGAGAGGATGGTTGGGAGGTGTGTGTGTGTTCACACCTGTGTGTGTGTGTGTCTTGACTGTGAGAGGATGGTTGGGAGGAGCATGAAGAATCATTTCAGACCTGAAACTCCCTGAAAGAGTTTGGATGTGCTGGAGGAGAGTTTTACAGCGTGCTGGAATAAGACTGGAATAAGATGTGTGTATTTCCATCAAGAGGTGTAAGAGTGTGTGTTAGTCTCCAGCGCTCTGCGATCGCACAGCTGACGAGGTACGAACTCGAATATCAGCACAGAGCCTGTGCGGCGGGAGCTCCGCGGAGTGGGTTTCCATGACAGCAGGAAAGGCTCACATCAGCAAGCGTCCACAAACTCTCTCTCTCTCTCTCTCTCTCTCTCTCTCTCGCTCTCGCTCTCGCTCTCTCTCTCGCTCTCTCACTCTCACTCTCGCTCTCGCTCTCAGCTCTCTCACTCTCACTCTCACTCTCTCTCGCTCTCTCGCTCTCGCTCTCTCTCTCACTCTCCTCTCTCTCTCTCTCTCTCTCGCTCTCACTCTCACTCTCTCTCTCTCTCTCTCTCTCTCTCTCGCTCTCACTCTCACTCTCTCTCTCTCTCTCTCTCTCTCTCTCTCTCTCGCTCTCTCTCTCTCTCTCTCTCTCTCTCTCTCTCTCTCTCTCGCTCTCACTCTCTCTCTCTCTCTCTCTTCTCTCTCTCTCTCTCTCTCGCTCTCAGCTCTCGCTCTCTCACTCTCTCTCTCTCTCTCTCTCTCTCTCTCTCGCTCTCGCTCTCTCTCTCAGTCTCACTCTCTCTCTCTCTCTCTCTGTCTCGCTCTCACTCTCACTCTCTCTCTCTCTCTCTCTCTCTCTCTCTCTCTCTCGCTCTCTCTCTCTCTCTCTCTCTCGCTCTCTCTCGCTCTCTCTCTCTCTCGCTCTCTCTCTCTCTCTCTCTCTCTCTCTCTCGCTCTCTCTCTCTCTCTCGCTCTTTCTCGCTCTCTCTCGCTCTCTTTGCTCTCTCTCTCTCTCTCGCTCTCTCTCTCTCTCGCGCTCTCTCTCTCTCCTCTCTCTCTCTCTCTTCGCTCTCTCTCTCGCTCTCTCTCGCTCTCTCTCTCTCTCGCTCTCTCTCGCTCTCTCTCAAATTCAAATTCAAATGAGCTTTATTGGCATGACTTATACAGTATTGCCAAAGCATTGGCCATTACATAGGCAATGAACAAATAATCAATAAATTAATAATGTAAACAAATGCATGAATACATTACATTTATATCATAATGAATCAAAATGAAATATATCAAAAAAAAAAAAAAAAAAACACAGTTTTGAACCAACATTCAGACTTTGTTTTGTCCACTGGCTGACTCTCGTAGTTTGTGGCAGGCTATTACATACTTTACTGCTGTTGTGATTGAGCAAGAGTTTTCTCCCAAAATATGAATTAATTTTTCAGAATTTGGCAATGCCATAAAATTTGGTTCTAGCTGTTGAAATCTAGTGAAATAGTCCGATCTAATGCTGTGATAGTGATCGCAGTGTATGAGGAAGTGTTCTTCTGTCTCCACTCTCTCTGAGAGCACAAAGAACACAGTCTCTGCTCACACACACACACACAGAGAACACACACACACACACACACAGAGAACACAGTCTCTGCTCACACACACACACACAGAGAACACACACACACACACACACAGAGAACACAGTCTCTGCTCACACACACACACAGAGAACACAGTCTCTGCTCACACACACACACACACAGAGAACACACACACACACACAGAGAACACAGTCTCTGCTCACACACACACACACACACACACACACACACACACACACACACACACACACACACACACACACACACACACACACACACACACACAACACAGAGAACACAGTCTCTGCTCTCTCGGCTGCCATCTCTGCCGGTGCCGGCCTCTCTCTACAGCCAGACTGTGGTCACACACACACACACACACACACACACACACCACACACACCTCTCTCTACAGCCATACTGTGGTCACACAGACACACACACACACACACACACACACACACCACACACACACACACACACACCTCTCTCTACAGCCATACTGTGGTCACACAGACACACACACACACACACACACACACACACACACACACACACTCACACCTCTCTCTACAGCCATACTGTGGTCACACACACACACACACACACACACCACACACACACACACACACACACACACACACACACAGTCTCTGCTCTCTCGGCTGCCATCTCTGCCGTGCGGCCTCTCTCTACAGCCAGACTGTGCTCACTCAGCCTGTATCTGGTTAGGGTCTTTCTCACTTTATGCTCTTTCACACAGCTCAGGTATTCTGCTGGTTTATACTCTCTTTCAAGTTTAAATAGAGTTCCATCTTCTTTTGTAATTTAGTAGCATCTTTCCAATAGTTAATGTAATTTTGTTTTTGTAATTGTATAATTGGTTTGGCCAGAGAGTGCTGTGCTGGTCTGGCTGTAGTTTGAGCATCAGCTGTGAGAGTGCTCTCCGGGCCGGTTCTCCTCCTGACACGCAGGGCTTCGGCCTGGTATGAGCTCGGGTCACTGCGCTCCGGGGCCGGTTCTGCTCCTGACACCGCAGGGCTTCGGCCTGGTATGAGCTCGGGTCACTGCGCTCCGGGGCCCGGTTCTCCTCCTGACACCGCAGGGCTTCGGCCTGGTATGAGCTCGGGTCACTGCGCTCCGGGGCCGGTTCTGCTCCTGACACCGCAGGGCTTCGGCCTGGTATGAGCTCGGGTCACTGCGCTCCGGGGCCGGTTCTCCTCCTGACACCGCAGGGCTTCGGCCTGGTATGAGCTCGGGTCACTGCGCTCCGGGGCCGGTTCTGCTCCCTGACACCGCAGGGCTTCGGCCTGGTAAGAGCTCGGGTCACTGCGCTCCGGGGCCGGTTCTCCTCCTGACACCGCAGGGCTTCGGCCTTATGAGCTCGGGTCACTGCGCTCCGGGGCCGGTTCTGCTCCTGACACCGCAGGCTTCGCCTGGTATGAGCTCGGGTCACTGCGCTCCGGGCAGGTTCTGCTCCTGACACCGCAGGCTTCGGCCTGGTATGAGCTCGGGTCACTGCGCTCCGGGCCGGTTCTCCTCCTGACACCGCAGAGGCTTCGCCTGTAATGAGCTCGGGTCACTGCGCTCCGGGGCCGGTTCTGCTCCTGACACCGCAGGGCTTCGGCCTGGTATGAGCTCGGGTCACTGCGCTCCGGGGCCGGTTCTGCCTCCTGACACCGCAGGCTTCGGCCTGGTATGAGCTCGGGTCACTGCGCTCCGGGCCGGTTCTCCTCCTGACACCGCAGGGCTTCGGCCTGGTATGAGCTCGGGTCACTGCCTCCGGGCCGGTTCTCTCCTGACAACCGCAGGGCTTCGGCCTGGTATGAGCTCGGGTCACTGCGCTCCGGGGCCGGTTCTGCTCCTGACACCGCAGGGCTTCGGCCTGGTATGAGCTCGGGTCACTGCGCTCCGGGGCGTTCTGCTCCTGACACCGCAGGCTTCGGCCTGGTATGAGCTCGGGTCACTGCGCTCCGGGGCCGGTTCTGCTCCTGACACCGCAGGGCTTCGGCTGGTATGAGCTCGGTCACTGCACTCCGGGGCCGGTTCTGCTCCTGACACCGCAGGCTTCGGCCTGGTATGAGCTCGGTCACTGCGCTCCGGGGCCGGTTCTGCTCCTGACACCGCAGGGCTTCGGCCTGGTATGAGCTCGGGTCACTGCGCTCCGGGGCCGGTTCTGCTCCTGACACCGCAGGGCTTCGGCCTGGTATGAGCTCGGGTCACTGCGCTCCGGGGCCGGTTCTGCTCCTGACACCGCAGGGCTTCGGCCTGGTATGAGCTCGGGTCACTGCGCTCCGGGGCCGGTTCTGCTCCTGACACCGCAGGCTTCGGCCTGGTATGAGCTCGGGTCACTGCGCTCCGGGGCCGGTTCTGCTCCTGACACCGCAGGGCTTCGCCTGGTATGAGCTCGGGTCACTGCGCTCCGGGCGGTTCTGCTCCTGACACCGCAGGGCTTCGGCCTGGTATGAGCTCGGGTCACTGCGCTCCGGGGCCGGTTCTGCTCCTGACACCGCAGGGCTTTCGGCCTGGTATGAGCTCGGGTCACTGCGCTCCGGGGCCGGTTCTGCTCCTGACACCGCAGGGCTTTCGGCCTGGTATGAGCTCGGGTCACTGCGCTCCGGGGCCGGTTCTGCTCCTGACACCGCAGGGCTTCGGCCTGGTATGAGCTCGGGTCACTGCGCTCCGGGGCCGGTTCTGCTCCTGACACCGCAGGGCTTCGGCCTGGTAGAGCTCGGGTCACTGCGCTCCGGGGCCGGTTCTGCTCCTGACACCGCAGGGCTTCGGCCTGGTATGAGCTCGGGTCACTGCGCTCCGGGGCCGGTTC